TGGAGTGCTTGTAATGGTGTGCAAGATGTTATAGTTATAAAAACTTTTCTTTTTCTTCCAATATATCATCTTATTATCTTTCTATCCTACAAAAATTATAATCTATTAAATTTAACAGAGGATTATATTATGACATGTCATATTTCATATAATTTTATATTTGCGATATCAATTAAAATTTAGTATGTCACTCTTAAAATTTAATTTTAATGAGGTTTCTATGAGTGGGTTGCTTGTGCGCTTTTGTCTTCTGGGTGGGAGGAAGAGTGGGGTTAGAGTAGTCTTTCGGCCCTAGCCCGTGATGTTTTAGATCACTGTCCATGTTTGGTCAAATATCTCTCTCAGCATTGGGATGCTAAGTTCTTTAGGTTTAACAACTTCTGGTTGGATGCTTTGAACTTCGATTAGTTGGTTAGTGATTTCTTTGTGGGCAAAGGTCTGTCATTGATGGACCGCGTACATCCTTGAGACAAGTTAAAAACTCTTAAAACCTCTCTTATGGTTTGGAACAATGAGGTGTTTGGTAATTTGGGCTCTAGGATCAGGCTTGCTTGAGTATGCTTCAGATTTTAGAGTTGAGGGGTGAGGTAGTGCATCTTAATCAAGAGGAGTTCGAGGGTAGATCGCTGTGTTTTTCAATAGTTAGGGGAACATATTTAGTATCGTCATTCACATCTGTTTTAAATATCAAGAGCAGTGTGGCTTAAAGAGGGAGATGCGATTATATGGTACTTTTATGCATGTGTTAAATAGAGAAATCGTTTGCATAGTCCAATTGTTCTTTATGTTGGGGACCTATGAGTGGATAAGAGGTCAGAGGTTGCATGGGAGGTTTATAGGTTTTTAAAACATGATTTCTTAGATTCAGTAGGTTATAAGCCTAGCATTGATAGGGTTATCCTTCTGTGTCTCTCGTTGACTAACGCAGAGTCCCTTTCTATTAGGTTTACTTTTGAATAATTGGAGGAAGTGGTCTTTTGGATTTATGGGTCCAAGATTTCGGGTCCGGATAAGTTTAATTTTCTCTTCTATAAGAAGTTTTGAAGCTTATAAAGTCAGAGGTATTTGAGATGTGTGACCAGTTTTTATTAATGCCATTTTGCTGAAGAGTCTAACATCTTTTCTTTTGTTGCCCTTATCCCTAAGGTATATTTTCATTTGGGTTTGGGAGATTTTAGGTCTATCTCTCTTCTTGTTTCTTTATATAAATTAGGGTTTAAGGTGTTGGCTGTTAGGCTAGTAGGGGTTATGAAGAATTTAATTTCTTTTGAGCAGTCACCCTTTGTAAATAAGAGACAATGGATTGATGTTATGGTTGCTCTGAATGAAGTTTTAGATAATGCTAGAAGGTCAAAGTGGGAGTGTTTTATGTTTAATATGGATTTTGAGAAGGCTTTATGAATTGATTAGTTAGTATTTCTTAGACAACTTGTTCGTGAGATTTGGTTTTATGGTAGGTGGAGAGCATGGATTAGATCTTGTGCCTTTGTGTCTGTGTATGGGTGCTCAACAGGAGGATACCAATATCTAGAAGGGTCTGAAGCAAGGAGACCTCTTAGCACTCTTCCTTTTTCTTTTGGTTGTTGAAGGCCTTAGCGCTTGTGGTGTTTATGAAGGGTTTAAGGTAGGGAGTAAAGGGTTACAAGTCTATCATCTCTATTACGCTAATGATACGACGCTTGTGGGGGCTATGTCAGTTGATAATCTTTTGACTATTAAGGTAATTCTCGTAAGTTTTGAGCTTGCCTCAAACATTAAAGTGAATTTATCCAAGAGTTGTCTTTATCGTGTTAATGTGGACAAGGTTTTTATAGATAAGGTTGAGAAGTATATGTATTGTAAGGTGGATACCCTTCCCTTTAAATATTCAGGGCTTTTAGTGGGTGCAAACCCGAGGAAGAAATGGACTTGGATCTTATAATTCAACAAAGTCTCTAAGAAATTAGCTTCATGGAGGAATATGTTTGTGGGTCTTTGAGGGATATTGGTCTTAATGAATTTGGTGTTAAACTTTACTCCGATGTTCTTTTGTATTCTATGAAGAGTCATTTTCTCTATGGGGTTCCAAAGAGGGTGATAATTTTTCCAAGGTTAAGTCAACAAATGTATGTAAGGAAAAAAGGGTTGGCAATTTAGGTGTCAAGGATCTTCGACTTGTTAACCTCGCCCTATTAAGTAAGTAGAGTTGAAGGATTCTTTTAAACGTATCTTTGATGTGGAGAGATATTTTCTCAAAAAATAATGGATTACAAGGTTTCAGTTTGCTGTTGGGGGTAGGCTTAAGAACCTTAATGTGAGGATAAGCTTCTTAAGATTTTGATGAAGACCAATTTCTACATACAAGATTGGATCAACAAAAAGAAATGGATCAAAGACAATGAAAGCAAACAAAGTTCAAATTCATCTAAGTTAAGAAGTTTTTCAAGGATTGATCAAGAGGTATATGGCATTCAATTATTGATAATGCATATACAAGTGTTCATAGGTCATATATGCATGCCACAAGTATTTAAGGTGTTTAAAATCATTTGCCACAAGTTTTATATTGAAAAAACAAGGATTTTTCAGTTCTGTCAGGCTGTTAATCAGTTAACCCCCTGTGGTTAATCGATTAATCAGTTAATTCTTACAAACCTTTTATACGTTGTTGTGTGTTAATCGATTAACCCCGTACGGTTAATCGATTAACACTGAAGCAGTTGCAGAAAATATTGCATTTTTTCATCTGTTAGATTTAAAATTTCTTATCTTGAACCATGACACCCCTTCATGTATTACACTCATTTGCAGAGGTGCATTAGAGCTATTTAAGCACCATTGCATCAGATTTTTACTCTCACCTTCTTGCAAAAATTTCAAACATTCTTTCATCTCTTTAAACTTTCAAATTTTTTATAAGTGTTCAAACCAGATTTTTCAAGAGTGAAACTTGTGCATTAAATCTTCATAAAAATCATTCTAGTTTCATTCCATTTATCAATAACACTTGTCTACCATTGTGAGAATTGTTTGTTACAAGGAGAAGATCAATCTTTTGATTCATAATTGTTAAAAATCCATTTCAAACACTTACTAAAATTCAGATTATACATTGTGTGTCACATCTTATTTTTCCAGGATTGTTGGTAATAAGATTGTAAAGTTGTATTCCTTGTTGTCCTAGTTGTGGAAACAAGAGCTCCATTGTGAGAGGATTAGTCTCAATTGAACTTAGTGAAAAATCTAAGAGGTTGTTCTTGGTATTGATTTGTTAGTGTCTGTATAGAAAGGCTAGGAAGAGTCTTATCTAAGTCCTAACATTATTAAAAATCTCTTTCATGTTGAAAGGGGACTGAAGTACTCTCAGACTGTGAGGGAAACCAAAATATGTTCTTGTGGCGTTTACTTTCTGCATTTACAGTTTTCATCAAATAGTAATTACTTAGGAAAGTAAAACTTAAAACCGTCAAAAATTCAAAAAAATTTCTACGTACCTAATTTACCCCCCCTCCCCCCCCTCTTAGGTGCAATCTTAACTTACACTTAAGAGGGTATCTTAGTAGTGGAGAGACATCTCGTTTCTGTGGTTTCCACATGACGTGGAGTCTGACTGGTTTATTGCCTCTTGTGTCAAGAGGCTTCGGTCGGTCAAATGGCTAGGTTTTTGCATGATATCTGGGTTGATAATGTGACACCCTAAAAACCGCCATACAATTTAATATGGTTTTTGTATTAGCAACATTTTGGTAAAACATGCTACCAGCAAGATGTTAAGTCAGGTGTTCTGTCATGTCAGTCAGACATCATGTTTAGTATGATGTTGTGACATGTGCTAGTACATGTTATACTAGAATGTTATGGCATGAATGTTTTGCTATTTTTAGTGTGATATTTGAGTGCGTTTTAATTCATACGTTGGATTATCCAATTAGGGATATTGTGGGAACTTTTGTTTTAACAAATTGTGTTGGTTTTCGTAAAGAAGATCCTTGAGCCTTTTTAGGAAACTTTGTATTTTGTTCCAATTTTTGTGCAGGAAAGTATCCAATGATTGAAAGCTTGATTCCTGGTGTTTTGCATTTTGCTTTAAGAGTCCAAGCCCATGCAGCTCTGATGCTTATTTAATGGAGTCTCAATACCTAAAGAAAGCGTGGATTTTGGAAGAAATTAGGATTTGTTGTGTTTTGGAGTCTCTTTAGTGTTTATCGTGTTTTTATTTGTATGTCACTATTGTATCAAGTTTGATGTATTGAGTTTACTTATTGTGAATTGTTAATTGTTCACTCTAAAGCTTTTAAGCAAGAGCGTATTGTTCTTGGTTGAAGCTTTTAAGCAAAATTAAGTATTGTACTTGGAATGGTTTGTACTTCAATTTTGGGTAGTTGTTGAATTGTCACTGGTTTATGACTAATTAGGAAGTGAGAGGGGGATCTCATATCTAGAGAGTGTCTAGGTAGAAGTTGCACAAGGTAGTGATTAGGCGAGAAGTTATAAATGGGGGCATTTAGCTTTGAACTAATACTATCATAGCGAATTTCCTTCCTGATTTGGTAGCCCTCAAATGTAGGTGAGTTGCACCGAACTGGGTTAATAACCACTAGTGTTATTTTACCTTTCTATCATTTAAGTTTCTGCATATTTGTTTGTGTGATCAAGCTATTTTAATCCCAGTGTTGTGACATCTGGTATCTGCGTGCCAGAATTTCAATTAGCATCGGAGCAGGTCACCAAGTTCTGTTTTTGGGTGAGCTTCAATGAGTTTATATTCTGATACTATGGACAAGGAAGGAGGAGGAAATGTTAACAGAACCCCAGTCTTATATGGCACTAATTATGACTATTAAAAGGCACGTATGGTGGCTTTCTTAAAATCCATGGATAGAAAAACTTGGAAGGCTATCATCAAGGCCACTCTATGAAATTGTTAAGCTCATCAAAGAGACCAAAACGTTGGTTCTACTAGTGAATATGTCAAAAACTCAATCGACACTTAGGTGACGAATCGTAAGGAGAGTTTCAAAATGAAAAGTGGTGGTGCAGTAACAGTTTTGACAAAGTGGAGGCATTTGGGTTTTGAAAATGTAGAATTTGGTAGGAATGAAATGGTGAATGTAGTACCAGCACCATGCAACTTGTTTGCCAATGTGGATATGAGCATGCTTACATCTTCTAATCAAATTGATGATGAGAATGATCCATCAATGAAAGGAGGAGTTAATCTTTTCACATCACTCACGGTTGATGCCATGACTAGGTTAAAAGAGGAAATTGAATCTTTAATGTTTCTTAGTTGAAGTTTGAATTTGAAAAATCTATTGAAATTTGAAATTGCCCGTGTTTCAATTTTAGAGAGTTTATGTTTATGTTTTTTTGTTATGTTGCAATTATGTAATAATTTTAATCTTTATGTTTCTGTTTTAAGTAACGTTGGAGTGCTTGTAATGGTGTGCAAGATGTTATAGTTATAAAAACTTTTCTTTGTCTTCCAATATAGCATCTTATTATCTTTCTATCCTACAAAAATTATAATCTATTAAATTTAACAGAGGATTATATTATGACACGTCATATTTCATATAATTTTATATTTGCGATATCAATTAAAATTTAGTATGTCACTCTTAAAATTTAATTTTAATGAGGTTTCTATGAGTGGGTTGCTTGTGCGCTTTTGTCTTCTGGGTGGGAGGAAGAGTGGGGTTAGAGTAGTCTTTGGGCCCTAGCCCGTGATGTTTTAGATCATTGTCCACGTTTGGTCAAATATCTCTCTCAGCATTGGGGCGCTAAGTTCTTTAGGTTTAACAACTTTTGGTTGGATGCTTTGAACTTCGATTAGTTGGTTAGTGATTTCTTTGTGGGCAAAGGTCTGTCATTGGTGGACCGCGTACATCCTTGAGACAAGTTGAAAACTCATAAAACCTCTCTTATGGTTTGGAACAATGAGGTGTTTGGTAATTTGGACTCTAGGATCAGGCTTGCTTGAGTAAGCTTCGGATTTTAGAGTTGAGGGGTGAGGTAGTGCATCTTAATCAAGAGGAGTTAGAGGGTAGATCGCTGTTTTTTCAAGAGTTAGGGGAACATATTCAGTATCGTCATTCACATCTGTTTTAAATATCAAGAGCAGTGTGGCTTAAGGAGGGAGATGCGATTATAGGGTACTTTTATGCATGTGTTAAGTAGAGAAATCGTTTGCATAGTCCAATTGTTCTTTGTGTTGGGGACCTATGGGTAGGGGTGCTCATGGACGGTTAATGTCCATAACCAATCCATAACCATAAGTAATTAATATGTTATAACCGGTTATTAAAATCAATTCTCATAACTGGTTTTTATCTTTTAAAATGGTTATAAACCGGTTATATCCATAACCAATTTTATAATTAGTTTTGATTTAATTTTATTTTAAAATTGATTTTTTCAAAATCATAATTTTTTTTAAAAAAATTATTGATGTTCAAAAGAAGACAATAGTTATTTTAATATTTAAAAAAAATCATTTTCTAAAATTTTTTGAAAATTTTTTTTATTTACTAAAAAAATTAAAACAATATCTTTTTTTCAAAATAAATTAATTTTATTTTCAACACAAAATTTTTTTTTTTTTTTGAAAAAAATTTTCAAAATTTTTTTTAATTAAAAAAATTGACTAATTTTGATTTTATTTTGGATATGGATGTCCAAATTATGGATTTGGTTAAAACCGTATTAAAAATATATCCAAAATGTGGATTTGGTTAAAACCATATTAAAAATATATCCAAAATGTTGATTTGGTTAAAACCATACTAATAATTAACCCGTTTTTAATAACAGGATTTGGATATGGATATGGATTATTTAAATAACTAGTTTATTTGAGCATCCCTACCTATGGATGGATAAGTGGTCAGAGGTTGGAGGGGAGATTTCTAGGTTCTTAAAAAAAGACTTCTTAGATTCAGTAGGTTATAAGACTACCATTGATGGGGTTATCCTTTCGTGTCTCTCGTTGACTAAGGCAGAGTCCCTTTCAATTCGACATACTTTTGAATAATTGGAGGAAGTAGTCTTTTGGATTCATGGGTTCGAGATTTCGGGCCCGGATAAGTTTAATTTTCCCGTCTACAAGAAATTTTGAAGCATATAAAGTCAGAGGTATTTGAGATGTTTGACCAGTTTTTCTTAACGCCATTTTGTTGAAGAGTCTAACATATTTTCTTTTGTTGCCCTTATCCATAAGGTAGATTTTCCTTTGGGTTTAGGATATTTTAGGTCTATCTCTCTTCTTGTTTCTTTATATAAGCTGGGGGTTAAGGTGTTGGCAGCTAGGCTTGTAGGGGTTATGAAGAACTTAATTTCTTTTGAGCAGTCACCCTTTGTAAATAGGAGACAATGGATTGATGTTATGGTTGCTTTAAATGAAGTTTTAGATCATGCTAGAAGGTCAAAGGGGGAATGTTTTATGTTTAAGGTGGATTTTGAGAAGGCTTTATGAATTGATTAGTTAGTATTTATTAGACTACTTGTTCGTGAGATTTAGGTTTATGGTAGGTGGAGAGCATGGATTAGATCTTGTGCCTTTGTGTTTGTGTATGGGTGCTCAACAGGAGGATACCAATATCTAGAAGGGTCTGAAGCAAGGAGACCTCTTAGCACTCTTCCTTTTTCTTTTGGTTGTTGAAGGCCTTAGCGCTTGTGGTGTTTATGAAGGGTTTAAGGTAGCGAGTAAAAGGTTACAAGTCTATCAGCTCTATATGCTGATGATACGACGCTTGTGGGGGCTATGTCAGTTGATAATCTTTTGACTATTAAGTCAATTCTCGTAAGTTTTGAGCTTGCCTCAGACATTAAAGTGAATTTATCTAAGAGTTGTCTTTATCGTGTTAATGTGGACAAGGTTTTTGTAGATAAGGTTGAGAAGTATTTGCATTGTAAGGTGGATACCCTTCCCTTTAAATATTCAGGGCTTTTAGTGGGTGCAAACCCGAGGAAGAAATGGACATGGATCTTATAATTCAACAAAGACTCTACGAAATTAGCTTCTTGGAGGAATATGTTTGTGGGTCTTTGAGGGAGAGTGGTCTTATTGAACTTGGTGTTAAACTTTATTCCGACGTTCTTTTGTATTCTATGAAGAGTAATTTTCTCTATGGGGTTCCAAAGAGGGTGATAATTTTTCTAAGGTTAAGTGAACATATGTATGTAAGGCAAAAAGGGTTGGCAATTTAGGTGTCAAGGATCTTCGACTTGTTAACCTCGCCCAATTAAGTAAGTGGAGTTGAAGGATTCTTTTAAACGTGTCTTTGATGTGGAGAGATATTTTCTCAAAAAATAATGGATTACAAGGTTTCAGTTTGCCGTTGGGGGTTGGCTTAAGAACCTTAATGTGAAGACAAGCTTCTCAAGGTTTTGATGAAGACAAATTTCTACATACAAGATTGGATCAACAAAAAAAAGGATCAAAGAAAATGAAAGCACAAGTTTAGATATAAAAACACAATTACTCTTCCTAAGCAGTAGTACACACATGACATAAAGTTATGACATCTGATCTAACATCAGATACAGAAAACAAACCAACACTTTACTTCCACCAGAGACACACAGCAGAAAAAAAACAGAAACACCAATCCTTAGTTCAAGCACATGAACATCTTCATGCTCACACAGTCCCCACAACAACTTCACACCTACTTAAGAGACAACAAAGATCCCTTAACACTTCGGGTAGGCACGATGTTACACACATCATGCACCCAAATGACAGCAGTAGAGGAACACTCTTTTCAGGCTCCTTCCTTCATAAAAAACAAACTAACATAACCTCCCATAGGGGAACATGCAATAGAAGAGGACACAACCTCATAGATAGTCAGAGCATCACAGAGATCAGAACACTTGGTCTGACATCCTTCTTCTACATATTACATCATGAAATAGCACAAGTAGATCCCTCACCATGGCAAACATTCAAACCAAATTTGGCCGGTAGCTTCACTACATACTCCACCATGATCAGGCCTTTCAATTTTGAATCTAACGGTGAGCAACAAAGTCCACACCGTGAACTCCAAATTAGCTTCAATGGATAAACTGCTTCCTTTTCTAGAGAGATAATCAGCTGAGATGGTGTTCCAACATCAATTCAGACATCATTCTCAATACAAGGATTGAACCATTTACTTTGGTTACAGATAAAAATAGGAATTACTATTTGCATAGTAATCCATACACATTCCTCTACAAGGGGCACATGAGAATCACAATAGGTCACAACAGTAGTTGATCAACCTCCAAGGTCAGATCATACACTTACTATAACCAGTACATCGCAAAGAGAAATACACTCTCACAATCAAGAAGCTTCTACCTAGAAGAACAATGTCCATACATCTTGTATGACATTTAAGGTATCAACAAGCATCCTTATGCACCCAAAGAGGAGATTCCCTCTAACAGGTATCACTTTGACTGACTACAGAAATCAGGGTTCTACAAGAGCAACCTCCTATAAACAGACTTCTCAGCACGAAACTGCATTACCTTTGTCCTACAATACTCGACATTATACAGTCCACAAAAACACCATAAGATGAAGTACATTGCAAAGGCTAATGTTCCAACATGTGGTGACTACATAGTCCTTGGTCAAAAAGCTTGAGCACGTAGCTCCTTGGAGCACATATAAATAACAATTGTTATTTGACACATCTTCTTTCATAAGTGACCAATCAGAAACCCTTACACAAGGACCTTGATTATGTGGAAACAACATCAGGACTGGAACTTCCAGTTCTAAAACTCTCTTACTCCATACAGGTGTCTGAAACATTCATACCAAACATCTTAGGTGAGACTCCAATTGAAGATATGAAAGGAACAAGCAATCAATAACTCCCTTGAGCTTTAGCCATTGCATGGTTCACAAAAGTTGAGATAGACCGTGGAGACCGCCATACACATTGAGAGCACATAAGCCTAAAGAGATCAGCCTTTAACAAGAAGAGGCAACTTTAGTGCATACACTTCCTTCATCATGAACATTCTGATGTTCAGCATGATGTTAGGATATTTGAACAAAATCAATGACTTAGTTAGCTAATATAGTTCTACCTTGCTTGATACAGTCTTGAAGATTCATCCCTTTTAGGTTTTCTGACAATACCTCACCTTGCAGAGCTCTTTCATCACAATAGAATAAAAGTTCCATATTCTCATAGACTTGATAATGATATCAAGTTTGAGAAATAATAAAAATAACCTCCAACCTGTAGGATATAGATGGAAAACAACCAATCCTTTCTTTGGAGTATAA